TTCAGTTTTCTGATTCGTATAACTATTTTATAACTTAGAATTCTTTTGTGAGCACATGCTAAAGTTTTCACGCTTTCACCTGAAGCATCGATATGCAATGTAAAATTCGAATCTTTAAGGATTTCAATATTGGATGATATTGTGTCAAACGTATATCTTTCCCATGTATAAACTGTAAAGGGAGAAGCAAGTCTATGAATATAATTCTTATAGGGGCCCATTTGCATCAAATAAAGAGCAACAAATGGATCTCTATCATAATATTTCGCCATATTGGCCTCAGATTTTAATTTTCTAAAAGTTTCTAAATTTTGGATATTTTGAAAATTGCCTTTTTCCGCAATATCGTCTGAAGCTACCAATATTTGTTTTTGTTTAAACAAATATGGCACATCTTCTTTTATTTTACTTTTAAATACATGTCTTTTTACACCTCTCATTTGACCAACGTGAATTTCATCTTCTGCATGATGTAACTCATTTGTTCTATAAACGGTTACATTTCCTTGAGGAGTTACGTCAAATCGAAAGGTAGTGCAATCGTTAAATTTACAATATGCATATATTAATGTTTTTTCAAAACAAAACTTTATGTTGTAGAAACATAAAATACAAACATTATTATACTTTAAATATTCTTCTCTTATCAAATCTTCGAGAAGCTTTTTTTTCGTAATTTTATCCATATACTCATTATTTACAGTTTTTAAACTAACAAGAAAAGAACAATCGAAAATATTATTCTTAAATAGTCGTTTAGGTTTTGTACTTTTTGATTTTGTACGTATTACATTTCTATTGCATTTTTCTTTTGGATTAGGACTTTTTCTATATTTTAAAAAATCTGAATTATTTGTGGAATCTCCTGTTATTTCAAATGGTCCAAGGGTTACATCCCTTCTATTATTTTTACACTGTTTTTTTATGGAACAATCCTGCTCTTTATAACACTGTACAGTTCCTACAGAAATTTCTTCCTTATGCAGTTTTTTTTCAGATTGAAGCTCATTTAAAATTTCTTTTAAATAAGCTTTAATTTCTTTTAGGTTGGATTCATTACTAGAGGAAAATTCATTCAAAATTATAATTTTTTCCATCGAATTTTTTAAATCGCAAGCTATTAAACTAAATTCTTGAACGAAACCTTCACACAATTTTTTAAATGAATCATGTGGGACTTCATTAAGATTTTTATTTAATTTAGCGTCTAAAATGGTATTCAACATTAATTCCAACTCTGTTTTATTAGATGTATTTTTGAAATCAACAACATTTTCAATTTCATTTACAACATCATTGTGGGAAACAAAATCCTCAACACTAATAATTCTATTAACCGAAGAATGACTGTTGATATTTTTTGTTTCATTTAAATTTGTATTTGCTGTTTCTAAACTTTCAGAGTCAGACAGCAAAGCAGATATATAATTTTGCTCCATTGGAAAACTTTCCAATTCTAAGTAATTTATACTTTCCAAAAGCTTTTTTTCATCATTTTCTAAATACGAACTTTCTATATTTTCTGATATTAAATCAGTAGCAACCGCATTTCTACTTTCTATACTGTTACCTTCAGAATGTAAATTTTTTATATTTTCTGACATTCTAACATCAGTTACCTCATTTCTACTTTTTAAAATACGTTTGGCAATAGTAGATATGCGTTTAAAAAGTTTTGCACTTTTTGGAATTTTGTTACATTTACTTCTTTTTTTATTCAAAGAATCTATAACATTTCGAAAGAACTTTTCATTTTGTTTTGAATAACTACTCAAATTTTCCAAACATGAAAAGTCTTTAATAACATTAAATATATCTAAATAACTTAATCTAAAATTCATTATTCCCTAAAAGAAAAAAAAAACAAAAATAAAAAAGACAGCAATATATTAATTATTAATTTATTTATTTATTTTGAAAAACTTAGCATAATACTTAAAAATAAAAAACTTTTTTTCATAATTAAATGAATTATAATAAATCACACATGATTGATAATCACATTATTGATCTTCGTTTTGTCGTAAATGACCATGACATTCATCATGGATTTTTAATTCACCATATTTAATGGATTTATTTAATATACACCACGTTTTTGTGGATTTTTCATATTAATAATAATATATAAAAATAAATATAAAAATAAACATACATTAAATCTGGAGGCACATCAAAATTCCCTGCAAAGAAAAAATAACGTATATAATATTTAATGATTAAAAGTTTTAAAAAATAGTCGTTAAAAAAGTTTACAAGTTGTAAAAGCAGTAAATATTGTTAAAAATAGTAAAATTTAAAAATCAATAAAATTTATATAAATTTGGAAAATATGTCCGACTTTTTGATTTTTTAGATTGTTCTACGTTTTTTAATATTTTTACTTTTTTCAACTTTTTTCGATTTTTCGACGTTTTTAGATTCTTCGTTTTAAATTTTTACACTTTTTTCAACTTCTAAGATTTTTCGACTTTTTTTGATTTTTTGACTTTTTTCAATTCTTCCGATATTTAGACTTCTTCGACGTTTTTGCGATTTTTCTAAGTTTTTAGATTTTTCGACTATTTTGAACTGTTTTTGATTTTTCGAAGTTTTTTGACATTATATCAACTTTATTAATTTTTTTTTTCGATTTTTCCGAATTTTTTTTTCGATTTTTCCGAATTCTTTTTCGATTTTTAGACATTTTCGACGTTTTGCGATTTTTTTTTTTTACTTTTTCGATTTTTCTACGTTTATCAACTTTTTTCGATTTTTAAACTTTTTCGACGTTTTTAGATTTTTCAACTTTTTTCAACATTTTCCGACGTTTTCCGATTTTTAGACTTTTTAGACGTTTACGATTTTTCGACTTTTCCGACTTTTTGACAACGAAAGATTCGTACAATGTACGAAATTTTTCGCATATATTCGGCATGAATTATTTTCAGTGCATAAAAAAACAAAAGTACCAAAATTAGGCCAACAACAATGTCCTTTTTTATAACTTATATATTTAATTGATATACGTCTAATACAAAAAATATAACGTGACAATGCATGACGTAACATATATAGTACATAGAAAAATTTGAAAAATAACTATCAACAGATATTAAATTAAAGTCATGTACCATATATGGTACGCTATGCATTTAAGGGTTAAATTCATGTTTCTAGGTTTAATATTATTAAAAAAAGTACAAAAGAGTTGCCTTTAATAGGTCCTCTACATTCTTAATTTATGTTTCTGGGTTTAATATTATAGAACGAAAAAATACTAAAATGTTTATAGGTTCTTATTTACTCCGGGATCTACATACTTATATACATGTTTCTAGGTTCAATATTATTAAAAAATCGAAAAGTACCACTTAATGAATGGAAAAGTGCTTAATTTTATGTTTCTAGATTCAATATTATAGAAATCTCAAAAAGTACCAGTTAAAGAACTAAAAAATACCAAAATGTCCCCTATATAGGTTCTTATTAAAGGCCTGAACAAGACAACACCAATTTGTTAAACAAATTTCGTGTTTTTTTACAAATTGTCGCCTTATTGTTGTCTTGTGCAGGCATTTAGTTCTTATTTACTCCGGGTTCTACATACTTAATGTTTCTAGGTTTATTATTAAAAAAATCAAAAAGTACCAGTTAATGAACCAAAAATTACCAAAAAGTGGCCTTTAATAGCTTCTTTACATGCTTCATTTATGTTTCTAGATTTAATATTATTAAAAAAATCCAAAAGTACCAGTTAATGAACCAAAAATTACCAAAAAGTGGCCTTTAATAGCTTCTTTACATGCTTCATTTATGTTTCTAGGTTTAATATTATTAAAAAAATCAAAAAGTACCAGTTAATGAACCAAAAATTACCAAAAAGTGGCCTTTAATAGCTTCTTTACATGCTTCATTTATGTTTCTAGGTTTAATATTATTAAAAAAATCAAAAAGTACCAGTTAATGAACCAAAAATTACCAAAAAGTGGCCTTTAATAGCTTCTTTACATGCTTCATTTATGTTTCTAGGTTTAATATTATTAAAAAAATCAAAAAGTACCAGTCAATGAACCAAAAATTACCAAAAAGTGGCCTTTAATATCATCTATACATGCTTCATTTATGTTTCTAGGTTTAATATTATTAAAAAAATCAAAAAGTACCAGTTAATGAACCAAAAATTACCAAAAAGTGGCCTTTAATAGCTTCTTTACATGCTTCATTTATGTTTCTAGGTTTAATATTATTAAAAAAATCAAAAAGTACCAGTCAATGAACCAAAAATTACCAAAAAGTGGCCTTTAATATCATCTATACATGCTTCATTTATGTTTCTAGGTTTAATATTATTAAAAAAATCAAAAAGTACCAGTTAATGAACCAAAAATTACCAAAAAGTGGCCTTTAATAGCTTCTTTACATGCTTCATTTATGTTTCTAGGTTTAATATTATTAAAAAAATCAAAAAGTACCAGTTAATGAACCAAAAATTACCAAAAAGTGACCTTTAATATCATCTATACATGCTTAATTTTATGTTTCTAGGTCCAATATTATAGAAAACTCAAAAAGTCATATGAAATCCAAAAAGCCCTAAGTTACAAACAAAACAAAATCGACTTTTCGCTTCTCCAGAAAAATTTGTCAAGGGCTTTTTGGATTTCATATGACGTTATAAGAAATGCTACTCACAAGTTCTTATTAATATTTTTCTTGCCCGTCCTATTCTTCCAGCGCCTATGATCTCTGGAAATAAATAAAAAATTAATAAATAATAAATTAAACCAAACATTTGCTTACCTCTCCAACAAGCACAAAATTCAGCCATGAAATAAAAATTTAACAGTGATGCCTGCTTACAAAATATTTAGTACTAAATAATGTTGTCAAATAAAATTTGTTAATGGTAGGGAATACATTTTCTTTGTAAGTCGACTTTTCGATCATGATGTTCGACTTTTTCAAAAATACAACCTTGTAAAAAGTAATGCCAAGTTATTTTTAGAATAGAATGGTTATGTACTTGCGCGAATAGACTTCATTCCACTTAAATCATTTGAAAATGGCGGTAAGTACTTTATTGCTCTTAATTTGAACGAAGATTTCTTAGAAATCTTATTTCAAATTTAGAGTTTGGAATTTAGTTTTTATATATTTCTTTTTTATTTATTTCTTTTTTATTTATTTCAGTGCATCAACAAGTGCCCATATTGCAACATGGCCATTAAAGTCAATTTTAAAAAGGCCAATATTCGGCCGATACATCCGGGCTATCTGGCTGCTCCGGCCCAGCAACCGGGTCATTATCCGGGATACTCAGGCCCACCGGCCCAGCAACAGGTCTACCCAGCCCAGCAACAGGTCTACCCAGCCCAGCAACAGGTCTACCCAGCCCAGCAACAAGGCTACCCGGCCCAGCAACAGGGCTTCCCGGCCCAGCAACAGGGCTTCCCGGCCCAACAACCCGGCTATCCGGCCCAGCAACCTGGCTATCAGGCCCAGCAACCCAGCTATCCGGCCCAACAACCCGGCTATCCGGCCCAGCAACCCAGCTATCCGGCCCAGCAACCCGGCTATCCGGCCCAGCAACAGGGCTACTCAGCAGCCCAGCCGGCAGCCCCACCACCAGCACCTGTAACAGCACCTGTAACAGCCCCAGCAACACCTGTAACAGCCCCAGCAACACCTGTAACAGCCCCAGCAACAGCCCCAGCAAACCCACCGACAGCAACATCAAAACCCAACGAAAGCTAAATACACATGTTTCGTTTTTTTTTCTTTATATATATGTTTGAATTGTTTTTATGTTGTTTTTTTAGATATGAAGTTTAAATATAATTTGTGTTTTTTTCAATATATTTTTGTTCGTTATTTTTGAGGGTTCTAGCCATAGAGTATATAGAGCGGAAACTCTGCTGTCAAGGACCTAAGTCTGTTGTCAAAAACCTAAGTCGTCTGAATGTAGTAGTAGAACAACTTATGGTAGTATTAGTATATTCCCCATATTTGAAATAACCCAGCAAACACAAAATCAAACGTTTGAAAAATGTTATTAATTTTATTTAATATTAAATATTAACGGTTCTTTAAAAAGAGAAATTGATTCAACGTTTACATTCGATTTAGAGTTTTAAAATTTTAAAATAGTTTGATTTACAATCTTTCTCGACTTTACATGAACCCCCTGTGTTTGCTGGGTAACGACATTTCAATTTATTATTCTGACATTTTCACCACAATTTTTTATTATTTATTTTTATAATTTTACATAACTTCGGCAAAATAAACAGATTTAGGTGACCCAAATTCAAGAGAAAACACTCGACATATTCTTACGAGTGTGTGGGTGTGGCGAGGTGGTGGCGTGTCGTCTAATAAGCTCACATTGTGGTTGTAAAAGTACCACCGTGAAATAAGGCCAACACGGCAGGTGTTCACGTAAAGCACTTCGAATTATGTATCTGTTGTCTTTCCGGCAACAGCAGTGAACTTATCCAGAAATATAGATTTCACCGTTCATCAGTCTTTTTATCAACACGATTTTGGATTTAAACCTCAGCCACCGCGTGCATCCGAAGGGACCTCTCCAATAACCGTGATGAGACAAAAATGGCAATACAGACGAGTAAGGGAACGTATATAGTCTAATCTATAGTGTAGTCTATAGTCTAGTCTATAGTTGTATAGTCTAATCTATAGTTTAGTCTATAGTCTAATCTAAAGTGTAGTCTATAGTCTAGTCCATAGTTTAGTCTATAGTCTAGTCCATAGTCTAGTCTATAGTCTAGTCCATAGTCTAGTCTATAGTCTAATCTATAGTCTAGTCTATAATCTAGTCTATTGTCTAATCTATAGTCTAGTCTATAGTCTAGTATATAGTCTAATCTATAGTGTAGTCTATAGTCTAGGCTAGTCTATAATCTAGTCTATAGTCTAGTATATAGTCTAATCTATAGTGTAGTCTATAGTCTAGGCTAGTCTATAATCTAGTATATAGTCTAATCTATAGTGTAGTCTATAGTCTAGTCTATAGTTGTATAGTCTAATCTATAGTTTAGTCTATAGTCTAATCTAAAGTGTAGTCTATAGTCTAGTCCATAGTTTAGTCTATAGTCTAGTCCATAGTCTAGTCTATAGTCTAGTCCATAGTCTAGTCTATAGTCTAATCTATAGTCTAGTCTATAATCTAGTCTATTGTCTAATCTATAGTCTAGTCTATAGTCTAGTATATAGTCTAATCTATAGTGTAGTCTATAGTCTAGGCTAGTCTGTAATCTAGTCTATAGTCTAGTATATAGTCTAATCTATAGTGTAGTCTATAGTCTAGTCTATAGTTGTATAGTCTAATCTATAGTTTAGTCTATAGTCTAATCTAAAGTGTAGTCTATAGTCTAGTCCATAGTTTAGTCTATAGTCTAGTCCATAGTCTAGTCTATAGTCTAGTCCATAGTCTAGTCTATAGTCTAATCTATAGTCTAGTCTATAATCTAGTCTATTGTCTAATCTATAGTCTAGTCTATAGTCTAGTATATAGTCTAATCTATAGTGTAGTCTATAGTCTAGACTATAGTCTAGTCTAAAATCTAGTCTATAGTCTAGTATATAGTCTAATCTATAGTGTATTCTATAGTCTAGGCTAGTCTATAATCTAGTCTATAGTCTAGTATATAGTCTAATCAATAGTGTAGTCTATAGTCTAGTCTATAGTTGTATAGTCTAATCTATAGTTTAGTCTATAGTCTAATCTAAAGTGTAGTCTATAGTCTAGTCCATAGTTTAGTCTATAGTCTAGTCCATGGTCTAGTCTATAGTCTAGTCCATAGTTTAGTCTATAGTCTAGTCCATGGTCTAGTCTATAGTCTAGTCCATAGTCTAGTCTATAGTCTAGTCTATAGACTAGTCTATAGTCTAGTCTATAGACTAGACTATATTCCTGCGGAAAATTAGTTAAGTACTTTAAAACCTAAAAAGTACTTTTTTTGTTATAAGTACTATTTCAAAAAAATATTTGTAGTGGTTGTAGTTTATCCTTTCCTTAATGAATTCATAGTCTAATTATTGCATAAATTTACAATTGAATTTCAGATTACTTCATTATTATGTTTTTTTTGTCAATTTTTTAATATTAAAATAAATGCAATCTTTAATCACGCTTAAATTTAACTTTACATTGTAGATTAAGAAATATTAATGCAATTCACATCTTAGTACGACTTAATATAAATTTAAGAAGAAATTATATTTCATTTTGTATTTAACTTAATATTAACGAAGGGGAGGAGGTTGAGGTATAACAGCAAATAGAACCAGTCCATTTTCTGGCTAAGAAAACAAATGTACGCAACAAATTATACATCAATTTGAGACATTTTCTTAAGCATCAATTTGATACATTTTCTTAACATTGGGAGAAACAATGAATTTAGCTCCAGTGCAGGCGGTAATATCATCAACGGTAAGACCCTCAGCGATTTCAAGAAGAGTAAGACCAGCACCCTTTTCAACTTGGAAAACAGCCTGAAAACAAAAAAAAAAATCAAAAATTAATACATAAATTTAAAAAAGCTTTAAATTGTTCGTTTTACCTTTTCGGTAATAATTAAATCAACAACATTTTTGCCGGTCAAAGGCAAAGAGCAGGAGTCCAAAATTTTGGGAGAACCATCACGGGCATTGTGTTCCATTGTAACAACCACTTTAGTACCGGGAGCAGCTACCAAATCCATAGCACCACCCGTACCCTTAACAAGTTTACCCTGAAATTCCAAATTGATTTTTACTATATTCCACAAAATTTTAAAACTTACGGGAATCATCCAATTTGCCACTAGTAGCCGACACTTGCATAGCACCCAAAACAGTCAAATCCATATGACCACCACGGATCATGGCAAAACTGTCATCGGAACCAAAGAAAGAAGCACCAGGTACGACGGTAACAGTTTCCTTACCAGCATTAATAAAATCAGGATCAACTTTATCCTTAGTGGGGAAGGTACCCAAACCCAAAATACCATTTTCCGATTGCAACATAACATTCATGCCCTTAGGGATGTAGTTGGAGGCGAGTACGGGCATACCAATACCCAAATTGGCATACATACCATCACGGAACTCCATGGCAACGCGTTTAGCAATACGTTCACGTACGGCCTGGGCTGGTGTGGGAGCCGATTTCTTGGTAGAGTCAGTCTCAGTAATGCGTACCTTTTCGATACGTTTCTCATAGTTGGTACCCTTGAAGATACGCTTAACATAGATGCCAGGAATATGGATTTCATGGGGATCAATAGCACCTATGGGCACAATTTCTTCGACCTCAACAATGGTGACTTTAGTAGCACGGCACATAGCGGCATTGAAGTTACGGGCAGCCTTATTGAAAACCGTAATAATTAATAATTTAAAATAAAGAATAATTCAATATTTCCTCTTTTATATAAAACTCACCCAAATTGCCATAGGGATCAGCCTTTTGAGCCTTGACAATAGCAAAATCAGCAAACATAGCCTCCTCCATGACATAGTTTCTGCCATTAAATTCTTGTACTGGTTTTGGTTTGCTAGCAATTTCAACTTTACCATCTTTGCTGTATTTAATTGGAGCTCCACCTGTTTGGATAAGAGTACCATAACCGGTGGGTGTAAAGAAGGCGGGTACACCAGCAACAGCGGCTCTAATTTTTTCAGCTAATGTACCTTGTGGTGTCAATTCTACAGCCAATTCACGGGATAAATATTGGTTGACCAATTCAGCATTTTCACCTACATACGAGACAATCATCTTACCCAATTGGGGAGACTTCAAAGGCACCACGTGTAAATCGTGCACTGCATCAGCGGCACTTTCATTGATTTTACCCTTAGCTGATTTACCACTGGTGGAATAGCAAGCTATTAGCTAAAAGAAACAAACACGTTCTTTTAATAATTACAATAAAAAAATCTTAAAGTAAATTCATCAGTTGGATCAGTAGTTGTGCCAAGTTGACATTTTTTGTACTAAAAAGTTGCCATTTGCTAAGTACAGGGTTGGATAAGCTTTTCCTAAATTATCTTGGTTTGAATCTAAAAAGTCGACTTTTTCAAATTATTCGCATTTTCTTTATACTGTATTCACACCAAAATAAAAGATAGACATTGAGTTGTAAAAATCTTTTAAAACTCTTTATTAATTTATTTATATGAAATAAATGAAATTTATAAATATAAAATGTTAAAATATGAAAAATTCAAAAAGTAGTTTTTCACTTTTAGACGTTTTCTTTTACATATTAGTTTTCGACAAAATTTTGAATTTTTATGGGAAAACTAAATAAATTTTAGTAGTTTTTCAAACAAAAACTCAATAAAGCCAAAAACTACTAGCTTTTACTTAGTGTATAGGGCATATTAGTTTTTTAATTAAAAAGTAGATTTTTTGTTATAACGTTGTAGTCAAATTGTATTTCAAATATTTTTATATTTTTAGACATTTTTATAAAAAAACAATTATTGCATTTGAGAATTTTATATTTACATTCCAAAATTTTCAAAAGTATTTTAGAAGTTTCCTTTTGTATTGCGGAAATTTCTATTTGTATTTTAGATTAATATTTTCTATATATTTAGAATTTACATACATTTTAGAAATTCTAGTTAAAATTTTAAAATGCAATTAGTAAATTTTGATATAAAATTAGATATTTCTAAAGTACAATTTTAATTTAAAATTGAAATAAATTAAAAATTTATGAAAATTGGAAAATTCAATTGAAAATTTTGGAGGAACAATTGAAATTTAACATTAAAATAAATTGGAAAATATGGGTACTAGAAATTTAAATATTTTTGTTAAATTTGTAGATATACGTTTAGAAATAAAAAGTTTTGAATGGTTTTAAAAAGTTTATAAATACCGACCGTATTCCAAAACAAAAAAATTAAAATACCTTTAATAAATTATTTTATAATATATCAAAAATAATTTCGTATATTGTTGTTTGAAATTGTTTTCATTTAATTCACTTCCCATCCTTGATGAGTGCATTTAAATATATAAGAATTTGGCAGCACTGCACATTCAGTCTGCAAAGAAAAGAAAATACTCATTTTCTGCACAAAAAACTCAATTTCTGCAAATAATACTCATTTTCTGCACAAAAGAGTAATTTTCTCCCTCTCTCCCATAATCGAGTAAAAAAAGTTTGCCAGCCAGAGTTTGTTATCTTCTCGTGGCTTGTTTTTTGGTGTATTCAGTTTCGTATGTTTGGATGTCTGTTGGTTTCATTGCGTTGTCTATTTTGTTTTTGTGTATTTCGTTTCGTATGTTTTTATGTCTGTTGGTTTTACTGCCTTGTGTATTTTGTTTTTTTTGTGTGTTTATTTCGTTTAGCGTTGTTGTTGTTTGTTTTGCTATTGCTATAATAATGATATAAACGGGAAAATGAAATAAATTAAAATTTTATAGAATTGATATTTTTAAATACACTGTGGTGAAGGGTATATAAGATTCGGCACAGCCGAATATAACACTCTTACTTGTCTTACAATTGTTTTAATATATTTTCTTTATCGAAATCTTTTTAATTTTCATAAGCCAAAAAATTATTTTTTCAATTGTTTGACAATTCATTTTTTGTTTTTCTAATTTCAAATTGAAGGTGCAGAGTAGCATTTCTTAGTAGTAAACAAATGTATGATAATCCAAGAAATGAAAGAATTTTGCATTTCAACAAATACAGAATGCATGAAAAATATTATCATGCTTTTATAAATGCAATTTAAAATGTATTAATTTAAGAAAATTAATGCAATAAAAACATTGTAATATTATTTCGACCGATTTTATACAACTATGTGGGCATTGTATGTGTGGTAAAAACCCAGTAAACAATTTTTTCAGACATGTCTGATGTCAGAAATTTTCTGAAATAATTCTTATACTTTATCAGAATTTTTAACGAATTTCTAAATTTCCTTTAGACATTTTACAGAATAATCGGCAAACTGTTTGTTAGACTTTTCTGCACATTTTCTGAAGTATTAAACGATTAATATCAGACTTGTCTGCACATTGTCGTAAGGGAATTTCAGTGTTACGACAATTATGAGACTAATCTGCACATTGGCGGAGGACAATTTGTTTTTTTATTCCTATATTATTTTTTAGACATAAAGGAGAATAGTCTATACATTTTCTGAAGTAAAATATAAAATGGATTAAGAATTATATCCGATAAATCTGCACATAATCTGAAGAGAATTGTTTTTGTAACGTTCCTTTAGATATTTAACAGAATAGTCTGCACATTTTCTGATATTTTTTGCTCGGTCATTTTGTTCCCATTTTCAGTACTTTTGTAAGAAAACTTTGCGACAACTCTGCACATTATCTGAAGAAAATTTTGTTTTTTTTTATAAAAATCATGCACAAACCTGTTTATATTTTGAAATTTGTCAACTGTACTTTAAAAGGGAATTTAATTTTTATTTTCTTTTATTTTCTCAGTTAGTTTTTGGAAATCAAGTAAACAACATCTGCATATGTGATGATTATTGTTTAAATTTCTTTAAACTTTGTTAATACACAAAAATTAGCAAAAAAATTACATAATTTTTTATGGTTTAATTTTATAATTTTAAATAGATGTATATAATGAACTCTATTTTCGTATATAATACGTAAGTAGTATGGTTTAATTTTATTAATTTTAAAAATAATCTATAAATTTCTATTATTTATTTATGTACCCTTAAGAAGTCATGAATAATGGAAGCTTATAAATTATTATTAAAATTAATAAACTTAAACCATAATAAATTGTATATATGAAAATAGTTTTCATCAGACGTTGATCAGAATAGTCAGGCCATTTTCTTATACTTGATCAGACTTTTGTACGAACTGTCGGACATTTTATCAGACATTTATCCGACATCTATCAGACATTCTTATACTTGATCAGACTTTTAAACGAAATGTCGGACATTTTATCAGACATTTATCCGACATCTATCAGACTTTCTTATATTTGATCAGACTTTCGTACGAAATGTCGAAAGAATGTCAGACATGGTACCAGACTTCAATCAGATTTGTCGAAAATTCCTTCAGAATTTCCCCAGGAATTTACATCAGATTTCGTACCGAATTCTGAACGACAACTCTGCACATTATTCCGAATTTCCTCAGACAAAGAGTTCCGAATTCCGAGCAACCTTTCATACGATTTTCGTAACGAATTCTGACGGAATTCGGATACGAAATCGGGAACTTGTGCAGACTGTCGGTACGAATTCGGCAAAAATTGTTTAGTGGGAAGCTTTTATACACTAACACTTCTAAAGCCCCCTTCACACGAGCACACAAGTAATATGATCTGTCAAAATTTTGTGTAGAAGAGAACGGATGGGATCGTCTAAACGCAATATGTAATGAAACCACACATTTAGAGAAAATACGGATGGAAAATTTGACAGTCGTATGGCTCTCTTCATTTTTTAAAATGATTCAAAAAACAAGCAAGTCGCATTAGATCAGGGATGTATTTTTATGTAAACACATACAAAAAAGTGAAACAGCTGTTTCCATCTTACTTTGTTATTGTTTTATACCAATCGTGTAAACACAAAAAATATAAATCATACGACTTTTATTCTCTTTTTTGTCATACGGATGGAATTTCATTTTACTTTTTCATTAGACTTGTCGTACGTAAAGTGTGACCGTGTGAAGGGCCCTTAAAGAAAATCTTACTAATACATATTTAGAGTTAGGTTTTTTTGACAGCTGAGTTAGGTTTTTTCCGGGAGAGTTGGCCTTTTACGGTAATATTCTATGCCATATGAAATTTTGACAGGTTTCCTCTCTATGTTTCTCTATAGTTCAGTGCATATAGTAGGGATATAGGCGAAACTGAAGGGGTTGTCAAACAAAATTTGTTTCTCTCCACACAGACGAGTTCTGAGGGAATAAAACACACTTGAGAGAACTAAACGCACTCACAAAACTTCAAATTTTCTTCGCGAAATTGCGAGAATATTAGCACATAATAGTTTTTCTTATCAATTAAACTGAATATTTTTTATTTTTTGTGACACTTTTATTGTGTTTAAAATCCCGTAAATAATTTATATTTTACAAACGAAAAAAAATATTTTTTATTCTTCGACATTTCATTTTAATTAAAACTGAAAAAAGAAAAGTTGTAAATTTTAGTATTAAAAATGAAAAAAGTATTTCACACACTTTTTTTCTTTTTCGATTGGTGCAGAAAAAAAAGACATGTTTATAATATGTTTTAAGATGAAATATCTTCTTAATTAACTATTATTTTCATTCACTAGTATATAAATCTTATATATTTTATATTATTTTATATTATTTTATATTATATTATTATTATATTTTATATATTTTATATTATAAAATCCCAGTAATAACATACAAGAAATAACGTATCAGAAATACATTTATTATTCAGTACCTTTTGAACAACTGTACTTATTTTTGTGCTAATACATTCTCAACAGTTAGGTTTTTAAAAGGGTCTTAAGTCTTTGACAATCTCTTTCGGCTATATGCTACTATATCGATACCCTATATTCAAAAAGTGCTAAATCAATAAAGTCTAGTTTTCAGGAAAGCAAAAAAACTATTTAATTCGTGAAATATTGCACTAAAAGACAATATTTCTTCCATAATACGTTTTTAACATCCTTACTAATTCTTACCTATGAAAAAATTTTAATATTTTGCACATTTTAGCGACTTATTTAAGATAGCACTTTTTGGTCGACAAAAAAACAAATATTTGTTCTAAGTTAGCATGTTTTGTTCAAAGAATAGAACAAAAATTTCTTGTAATAATATGCGTTATTTTATAATTTTATGAAATGTTTTTTTTAAGGGATATAAATCAAACCAGTAAGTCCAATAAGATGCATTTACACCATTTAAGTAGAAAAACTCATGGCATATCTGCTTGTTTACTATTCCTTATTCTCATTACAAATATTTTAAATTATGAAAAGTTTTTTAATATAAAAAGTACCAATATTTTTAGAATAATACTCCATTATTTTGCACATTTAAAGACTTTTTTATAATCAAAATTCTAAATTGGAACCATAGAATATTATAGATCTTAGTGTTATAAACGATTTCTGAAATAACTTTACATTTTTCGGAAAAACATTATTTAAAGTCTAAAACTGGCTTTATATACAAATATATAAATGATCATATCTTAAAAACTATACATTCAATTTATTAATCACCTGTTTTGTTTTCAGCATGTTCATCTTGTTAATATACAAAATAAATTTTAAATAAATTTGAAGTTTTAAAAAATGTTGTAAAATTTGTATGGAAGTTAGCACTTATTTTCTTCAATAAATATTTAACTTTGAGATAGCATATTAACAAAAATTGTTGTTAAAAGTTCAAAAATTACTTTTTTGGTTTCAAATTTATACCAGACGTGGATCATGCATTGAGGAATCCTTTTGCATCAAAAACTCACTTTGCCCAAAATTGAGTTCGCACATTTTGAATATAGGGTCACGATATGGTTTAGTGGTTGTGAAATTGTACTATTTGGAGTTGCCAGATACACAAAAAGAAACATTTATTTACATAGGGATTATTTTCACCTGCCTGTGATTATGATCTGGTGGGCATCGCGAATAAGATTGGCATCATATATGTAAATTGTCAATTCCAAATATTTTATTATGTATCTTTTCAGTAGAAATGTAGACGTAAACTAAAAAATGTAAGTACGTTCATAAATACATTAGGTTTTGTGAATTAGTAAGATCTGTAACAATATGTAAATATGAAACAAGAAATACTGCAAAGTACGTTTTATTTAAAATATTGCAGTTTCGCGCTATCAATGGATTTATGAACGTACAGTAAGGATTGAATTTAAAATCTAAAAACAAATTATATGTACATGCATATCTACTAGGAAATAAAAAAAATCAAATAAATATAAAACAATACGAGTATTTTTATTGGTTACTAATATTGATAGTTTCGGTCACCGTAACCGAATTGTATTTTAAAATAAGTAATTATGACAACTACTTAATCAATGACTTCAATCGATAATTCGGTGCTAACAACTTACCTGTGTTCTAAAAACATAATTTTAACAAATGAAATATTCGGTAATTGCAACCAATTTATGTGGTAGTTGTTGTAACCGACCAAATTCGATTGGAAACAAATTCGGTTGTGGCAACGAATCTGTTTTCTCTGTGTATATAACAAAAGAAATATAGTTTAGAGATATTTCATTTGACATACATATATATTGTGTGGGAACAAACCTATATGCTTTAAAAAGCTTACAATGTACCAAACATAATATGGTCTGTTAAAATTCTGTGTAGAAGAGGACGGATGGGATCGTCCAAACGCAATATTAATAGAAAATACGGATGAAAAATTTGATAGTTCATTTTTTTAAATGATTCATAAAACAAGCAGGTTTCATTAGATTAGGGATATATTTTTATGAAACAGCTGTTTCCATTCTACTTTGTTATTGTCTAATACAAATAGTGTAAAAACAAAAAATACATTTAAATCATACGAATTTATTCTCTTTATTAATTGGATTTTTCGTGCGTAAAGTCGTACGTAAAGTCTGATAGTCTAAAGCCACTTTAAGTTTAAAGTATTGTTTAAAACTTCTGAGAATTCATATTTCAAATTAACTTAAAATATAGAGACCAAATTTTCAACTTCATTGGTGCGGAAACTTTTTCGATTGTATCGAAAAATTAAAATTGCGTTTCTTAAAATTTTTGTATGGACTTTTTGGTTTATACATGTAAAATTTGATATTTGCAAAAAAAAAAAAAAAAAAAAAATCAAAAAGTCATTACCCCGTTAACACGATGAAATTATTCGTTATTCACTGTCTCATTCCTTATTCAACTCCCAATTACGAACTGAATTACATGATTCGCCATACAAAATTTCAGTGGCGAATTACACAAGCTGTACGTTTGAATTATCCACCAATTTCGAATGAATGAGTGTCACCTATAATTTTTGTCGGGTATTTATTATAATCAGCTGTTTGTTAATTGGCTATTGTAATTCAGGAGCCTAAAAAAGTAATTCAACTCTCCGTGTGAACTTGGTATAATACACATTTATTCCAACGAAAAACAAAGCAATGAATAGAAAACACAATATGGCGATGAACTGCCAAAACGAATTACGAGTGTATCGTGAAAACGGCAATATTTAGCAACTTGCCGTGAAAACATGGCATAACTCTTTCATGAATTAATATTGGCACGAAGGAATATCTTTTAAATAAAACAAAAGCAGTAAATAGTTATTTTATTTTCGATTTTATTGCGTCTAATTTAAATATAATGAGTAGAGAGTTATTAAATAAATTCGTTAACTTAACAAAAATATAAAAACAAATTGTAATGTTTTTATGGTTAAAAGCATTCATTAAAGGTCAAGGGAAGAAAATGCGTTTAGTTTTGAAATTTGAAAGCAAATATCAACTCTTATACGTGAAATACATAGTTACAAATATTTTACTTTATATTCATGTAATTATAAAACAAAGTATAGGAGTGTTTTGCCAGTTGTCCACAATTCAGAATATGTTCAATTTACTAAATCGTCTTTATTGTACGAAAAAAAACTTTAAACTTTTTTCGGTACAAGTTATTGTGGTAATGAATTGATTGTTACGTCTTCAAAATAATATTAAAATATTAGATAATTGGACGTAACATTTTAGAATTAAATGTCTTTAAATTTTAAAGTTCCTTGGTGGAAAGTGTAAGTAGTTTGATTAAGAAACGAATGAATAATAAAACGATAATAATTAAGTAATAAATTTAGAATAAGTGTATTTTGGTTTTTATGATTAAACGAAAGTTGTAGTTGTATGAATAAATAGTAAATAAAGAATTGTATGTAATAAATATTCAGCAAATAAGACAAACTGAACTCAATCGAATGGGTTCAGTTGTTAAAGCTCGTATTTTTTTATATGTAATATGTCGATTTGTTTAATACATTTGTATGTGTATGTATGTTGAATAAGTTAGACGAGAGATGTGAAAATGATCAGCTTTCCGAAGTTATTCCTCTTCCGTTTCCTCTTCGGTAGTGGCATCGACAACGTCAGCATCACCACCGCTTATATTCAAGTCAATGGTTGGCTCTTGTTGTACTTCTGGAGTGGCAGGTTCTTCTACAATTGGTTCTTCGGCAGTTGTGGCAGTTGTTTCTGCTTGTTGAGTTTGTTGAATAGTTTGTAGTTCTTGAGCAGCAATTTCAGCTTCTTGTCTAGCAATTTCTGCTAATTCAGCTGCTTGACGGGCCAATTCACCTTCCCGTTCTTCTTCGGCTAGTTTTTCAATTTCAGCCAATCTGTTAATTTCTTCTTCACGAATGCGTTGCTCTTCGGCGAGACGAGCAACTTCTTCAGCCTTACGGGCAGCTTCTTCAGCTTGTTTAGCCTCCTCAGCTTTTTTGGCCTCTTCAGCAAGTCTAGCTTCTTCGGCTAATCTAGCCTCTTCAGCTAATCTAGCCTCTTCAGCTAATCTAGCTTCTTCAGCTAGTCTAGCCTCTTCTGCTAATTTAGCCTCCTCTTCTAGACGTTTTTTCTCCTCTTCGGCAGCCTTACGTTTTGCTTCCTCTTCAAGAGCTCTAAATATAATTTTGTTACAAATTGGAAATATAATATCATAAGTGTGTACGTACTTTTTTTCAGCTTCTTGTGCTGCTTTGACAGCTTCCTCAGCTTGTTTTTCGATTTCAGCCAAACGTTTCATTTCTTCCTCATCTTCTTTGCGTTTACGTTCTTCTTCCTCTATACGTGCAGCTTCTTCAGCTTTTCTGGCAGCCTCTTCTTTAGCTTTGCGTTCAGCAGCTTCTTCGGCTTTGCGTTTAACTTCATCTTCCAAAGCTCTAAAATATGTAAATATACAGAATTAATTAATTGAATTAAACAGTAACGAAAGAAACAAGCTATTAATAAATTAAAAAATACTTTTTTTAATCATTACTCAGTCTTCTGATGACTACTGAGAACAAATTATAAAACATAAGTTATAAAATATCGGCGCAAACTTCTTCGTCAATCCTCTTATCAGTTTAATGCAGAGAGGTAATCAATTCATTATTAATTCTGAGATAATTTCTATACTATGTACCTTAGACCGACTCACTCTGTATGAAAAGCAAAAACATGTTTTTGTTACGAATCTCAAAATTAACCTTGCTTCGTTTTATAATGATTCCCAAAATATTTTAAGTCTAGCGATGGCCGTTCGTGAGATGGACCAAATTTAAAAAAGGTATTTTTGAATTATTTTTTTTTGAATTTATGTTTATTAATTTATTGAAATAATTGACTCAATATGGGGTATCGTTTGAAAGATGTTTCAAAGCCGCGTCTAATGATGTATTAATCATAAATAATCGTCTGCTCATAATTGTCGTATTTCAAAAAATTTTGAATTTTTTTGCATGAATATAAATAAAATTTATGCATAATGTAGGAAATTTTGCAAACCACTATATTAAAAACCCTTTAAAATGATACCACATATTGTATACTTTGTTCAAGGAAAAACTGTACAATTTAAAAAAATAACTAAAAAGGGACTTTTTTGTAACCGGTCCAGCTCACGAACGGTCATCGAGAGACTAAAAATATTTTGGGAAATATCATAAAACTAAACAAATATTTTTTGGAACTGGGTAAAATTTTGAATTGAACGTGAAAAGTAGTGTCTCTTATAGGATAGTTTCTTGAAAACTGTCCAGCTCACGAACGGACAACACTAAACCCAAAATATTTTGGGTAACATCATATTACATAACAGCGAATTTTTTGAGGGGGGTAAACCAAGCACCATTTTTTGTGAGTCGGTCTAATGTACATACTTAAATACTTCTAAACATTTTAGTTCCCTTAAGAAAATCTCAATCATCATTTAAATTATTATTTAAAAAATGTTTGGTACTTTAATTGTTCCTAAGTAGAATAAATTCTAGCTGTTTAAATCTGTGTATTTGGTTTCTGGTAGGATAAAGTTTAATAGTTCGGGCAACACATATCATATTATCTTACTTTTGCTCACGACGTTTAGCTTCGTCAGCACGTTGTGCCTTCTTCTTCTCCAATTCTACGAGATCCAGTTCCTCCTCATTAACTGTCATGAGACGTTCCTGGCGCAAACGTTGTTTTTCCTTAGTTTCATCATCAATTGGATCTTCCAATGGTCTGGGAGCAGAGAATTTCCTACTTGGGCGATGAGGATCCAATTCGGGGTCTTGAAAAAATGAAACCAAATCAAAATTTACATTCAATCATAATATTTACAAGAAAGTTCCACTTTCTCAAATTAAAGTCTGAATAATACAAAAGAATCTTAAAGTTGGAATAATTGAAATACAAAAACTAAAAAGAAAAAACGAAACAGAATATGAATTTGTACTTACTCTTCCCATAACTGTATAGTGTTATGAAAATGCTTTGAGGTCCTGATCATGGCTTATTGCAGTTAGGTACAAATCTTAACGACCGTCTTAAGCGTTGGATTTGCAAATGATTTAAAAGAATTATTTAAAAAAATATTTATAAAAATATCTACATATTAACATATACATACATATATACAAATTGTCTAAAAATTAAATATTATATACATACATCAAAGCAATTATATAAAAGTTAAAAATATTGCAATTCAAAAGTATTGGTTTATAGACCGCTTTTTTAATGTGTCTTGAATTATAAATTACAATTGTTATATTGAGTGTCAAAAAGTATTATTTTGAAATAACATGCATGTTTTTGTTTATAAATAATGCTATTTAGAAATATGTGTAATTAATCATATTAAATAGATTAAATTAATTTCAAAACTAAGAGTCCTGAAAGTCAATAATCTTCATATCGTCACCAAAATTGCAATCTGCCTTAACAAAAATTAAAATTCGACTTTGTTATTGATTCTGATATATTGATGATTTATCTTAATGAATATTTCTAAATAAGTGTCCAAAACATAATAGAAACACAATACCCATTATACATACATATTAAGTGCAAAAAGTGAATTTCCTGCTCACTTTATCGCCCTAAAATAATTTTTAAATGTCTTCGACTTTATATACATACATATGGATGTATATTTTTTTTTTTAATTTGGGTGGGAAAGTTCAAAGTATCTGAAAGAAATATCACGTCGCAATCTAACCAAGAATGCATATTTTTAATGAAATGTAAATTATTGAAAATTTATTAACATGAAAGTCTCAAATACACACATACATACATATGTATAAATATTAAAATTATTTCGAAAATTTGTTTCCGAACATTGACGTCATACCCGCATAATAGCAATCATTTCGATTTAAAAGAATTTTATTGTTCTTAATAGTTTGCAAAAACAAAAATATTTGAAAACATATTATATTAATTTATATTGTTTTTACGAAATATCAAGGCAGAATCTGCCAAATTATTATGACCACACTTGAAATAAATATTCATTCTTTACCCCTCACAGCATCTGTTTTATCATCGTATGTGACAGAGATTAATATACAATTCATTGAAATGTTCCACATGTCCACGAGCGAGGGGTTTAATAAAATTTCATCAGTCATGTCCTCTTCGGAGATTGTATATATGCCAATGCCAGGGGGCATTGAAACGGGTGGCAAATATATGGGTCAAGGCCATTTAATCATTATCTCCCATTTGTCTGTATACTAACGTGAGTACTGTATTGTTGTACTTTGATACTCTCTCATATTTACGATCAGTTTCAAATTTGTATTCTCGAACACTAACGATCAATGTCGAATTTAGATAATAAAAACTATTTTATAGTTGTTTATATTCAGATGGGGTATTTGTTTGTACCAAAAAGCATCCATTATTCACTAGTCATAAAACTAGAAAGCGAATGTGAAAAACCCAACCGCTAGCCTCCACGCTTTGGCGCCCAACAACCAATCGCCCCCCAATAGAGTCTGAACAAGTAAGAACTCAGTAGTAATAATAAAAACACATTCGTTCATTTTAAATTTTCGTCAATGTTTTATATTATTTTGCATTGAAATTTTTCTTTTTTCATTAGTTTATTATATATTTGTTGTAGCAGTTTTTATAATAAATATAATTATAATAATAATAAAAAATCATATAAAATAAATTTCTTTTCACAGATATTTTCTTTGGCATAAGTAGTATTTTTAAGTTTCATTCATTTTCTTACTTTTCTAAATGTGTAGATATTTTCAATATTAAGTAAATGTAGTTTTTTGATAAATAAATCATAATGAATCATAGAAAAATTTATAAAAATCATACATTGGCAAAAAAATCTGATAATTTATATAAAAACGAAATCAACAAATAAGGACAATAATTTTTTAAATAATTTGTTAATAAAAAAAAATAATTAAAACTTAAACACGTTTGTATTGAAGACGTGATTGTGTAACAGTGTTTATGAAAGTGTATGTGTAGTGTAGTTGTGTGTTGCATGATCGAACGCCTGTTGCAATATATTTTCGTGTATGAACTGAAGCATACAATATTTCGAACATACAAACAAATAAACAAACAATTATTAATTATAAACAGAATTCATTTTGTTTTCGTTAAATAACGATGTTAAAATTTATACACAATCAGTTCCAAGTGTATATTTTTCATCTTTTTGGTTATTTGAGTTACATATAATGAGTCTGTCTGTAATTGGGGGTCTAATGTGAGAACATATAATTTAGTTAAACATTTTGTTTATTCGTTTTATCTCTTTTCTTTTAACATACACTTATTTCAATTCAAATTCATACATTTAGGCCTCAACCTCAGCAGAACATACTGCAAAGAATCATTGAATCATAGAAAGAAAAACACATAAATGTTAGCAAAATACTATTAAATGAAATCAACAAAACAAAAACAAAATATCATCAAAAGGATGTTTTATATATGAAAAGATGAATTAACAATCATAAAACAAAATGTTAGTCACAAATGTTAAAAATGATTAGTTTTATAATTGACATAGTGTATGTGTGATTCCTAAAAGTTTTGGTAAAAAGTCCGGCAATTATTGGCCAATATATTTTCCTCCGAGTAAAAATCTATAGCACCCAGTAATAATTTAAAAAAAAGCTTTTACACATAAAAAAGGCGATATGCTGTGAAACTAGAGTCCAATGGTAGCAATTCTGCCTACTCCGTCTTTTTAAGGACTTACAATTTCAAATGATTATTTTAAATATTTAGATGTATTTTATGATGCTAATATTGGTATCAAATGAAAGCTGGAAATCTGTACATTCTATCTATATTTTTTATTAGACTCAGAAAAATATTTAAAAATAAATTATATCTAGAAAAGTTCAAATTTTTAAAACAAACATTTTTAACTACTTTTTTGCGACACATTTTCCTTAAGCCTCTGTTTCTTTCTTAATGCTGATGAATTGAAATAAATAATATTATTTTGATGTTGAGATTATTCGTATGTACTTTAAACTTTAAGGTCCTTTTACAGGGGCATAAGAGCTGACTATGAAAAACTACACCATCAGGTGCCGTATTTCTATAGAATTACAGACATAGCTATATAAACTTAAAATCCGGGTATTTTGAGTTAAATACCATAAAATTAGAATAATAATAATTTCGATTACTTATAATTTCGATAAATTTAATAAATTATTTACGAAAAGATTTCGAGTTTAAAACTAACAGCCTGTTTTTCTAAAACAATTTAGTTCTCACACGAACATTTCATTTTATTACGATCAAGTTTAAAATTAGGTTTTTATAAAACATTTGAAAGTTTTCGTTTAAAAATGTCTAAAATGAAATGAGCTTTTTCTATCGTAACAGAACATTATTGCCTATGTATTTCATTTCTGAATTTTTAAATATTTTTTCATGTAGTAATAAGGTGTTTGGTGTTAACCCTAAAAAATAAACAAAAATAAAATAATTTTAGAAAAAAATTGAAATTATGAAAAAATGTTTTTTTTAAAAACAACATGAAAATTGTATGCAATGTCTCAAGAAATTTAAAGGTTTGTATTGCGAATTACATTCTGGTTCAAATGGCCACATATTATTACGTATTTTGGTAAAATTTTCGTTGTTTTTTGGGCAAACGAAAGGCTTTTGCCTATCGTCTATTTCTGACATTTCTTTCGTTTATTACGAACGAATTCATTTTCTAAAAACCAAAAATATATGGAAAAATAAAGCTCTTTCGTTGCCACTCACATGAAAATTTATTTTTTCGTTACAAAAACGTAAAGCCAATTTCGTTCGTTATTTTTAAGAACGAAGACAAATTTTCATTTTAGAAAAACAAGCTGTAATTGTAATAACTTAGAAAATAAAATTTTAAGTATAGTCCAAGGTACGCTTCTATTCGGAATCCTTCAATTGGTCAATTTTGAATTGTTTCAATAACACAAATTTTTGGAATTAAGTTCTAACTATAAAATAACTGAAAACCTATATATAAATATAGGTAGGTAGGTTGATAAGAGGATGTATACTACATCAAATCCGAAGAAATACACCTAGTCCACTATCGGGCCTGTTGTGCGCTCCTTATCATGAAAAAATGGGAACTGAATGAATTATTTTTCAGTGTTCATAAACTCAGTTTCGTGAACGTAATTCCTAAGAATCTTCCAATCAGTGTTAGTCAGGAATGTTATTTCCGGAATAACATCACTTCCAAGATACTTGGATCTAACTTCTGTCATTCAGCTTTCCTTTGTGGAGCAAAAGCTATTCTCGAGCTTGCGATTTTAATGACCAAATGAAATATTGCTCGATAAATGGTAAGGTACAAATACAGACAAGTACATATCTCGCTGAAGAGTTCAGACTAAAATGGATAGGAAACAAATTCCACGATAAATTGGTTAGTATTGCAATCTGCTACACTTTATTGGGGCAATTGTTTGGATTTTTGAATAATAAGCATTATCTTGATCCCTCCTCCTAAATCATTTATTATTATTTTTAGACCCACGGGTCACAGTTTTGACTGATAATTCAAATTAGTTGTGTCCCATTACTTGCCAAGTTTGCAGATTTCGATCAGAACTTATGTACATGAAGTGTTTTTATACAATAGAAAATTATAAAAGAGAATAAAACTGAGATGTTAAAAATATTTTCCCTGTGTCAGAACTTGTTGATTTTACACAGAACATTATTTTCTAGCAAATAAAAAAATATCAAATAAATTATATGGGTATTTCCAATATACATAATTTATTTGATAAGATTGAAACAAAACGATTTTTTGTTTTGGCAAATGACTAGGTGTAATTAGTCCAATTATTGGTGCCAATTACAAAAACAAGGTAATTTCATACAATAACAAGTAAGAATTTATAGTCGGTCGAGGCCGAAATGTGATTTAATGTTCATAATAAAGCATTAAAGTTGAATGGTACCTTGTCTGAGATATACTTTAAGGTGGAAGTACACAACACGCGTTGGGGCGGCAACGCGTTTAACGCTTTTCAAACTTAATAAGCGGCAAGTTACACACCACGCGTCATTTTAATCTCTCTTTTAATGTTTTTTAAGACTATTACTGTTTTAAAAATCAAAATTTTAAGTTTTTGTATATTTTTTTAACATTTTTCTTCCATTGTTGAAGAAATTTATTTTAGTTTATTCTTATTCTACACAAAACAAAATACAACCTTAATCAGCTGCCGACGCGTCAAAAGTTGAAAGTTGCTGAACTTTTCGCGGCAGACGCGTTACAAACTACAATGTGTAACTTGTTAAATGAAAATACACTATTTCAACTTTTTTTGACAGAATCTTATAACGCGTTGCCGCGTACAACGCGTGTTGTGTACTTCTACCTTAGCCATTTTTTGTTGAATAAAATTGTGTACATTTAAGTCATATTTCGAAGGGGTCATCAGGGTCATGAAGGCTAGTATAGAACTTGGTTTGAACATAATTATGAACTTAAAAGTCCTACTCGGGGGGTTCAGTTGAATGGGGGCTAGGCCAAATATTGGAGATCATGTGCAAAATTTCATTGAATTATCTTCAAAATTGCGACCTGTACTTTGATTACAATGTTTACAAGCCCTTTTCGGGGGTTCAGTTGTATGGAGGCTAGGTGAAATAATGGACGATCATAACCATTTTTAATAAACTTCGCCACTGAGACAATAGAGGATCATGTACCAAATTTAATCGAATTATCTTCAAAAATATTGATATCGATGTGAAATTCGCAATAGACTATTGACTATATTGTATATGCATCGATCCAAATTTCGAAAATATTAGGATATATTGGATTATTGAAATCACGGAATGTCTGTTCTTGTTATTCTGTTTATAAATAGATTTTAAAATGTAACAAATTATATTGTCGCTCTTTAAATATTCTCCAAAACTAATGTTTTTAAATCTATTCGTCTTTAAGGTAATTCGTGTCAAGGACAATCCAAACAAAAGTGTATCACTTCTTCCGTACCACTTTGTATGTATGATGAATGACATGATAATAAAAGTGCAATTATTTACAAATATGAATTCGATTAAAATGAAATGTGTTCGGTTTTTGTTTTATTTTTCATTAATGAAATATTAAGCACTTACCTGTATCGACACTCTCCACTTGTTCTTTGATCATTTTCTCTTTCTTGACTGTGGGGTGTCTCAAGTACCATGACAAAAGATTAATATCAGTGCGTACTCTATCGGTATCATACAGAGGTCTTCTAACATTGTAAGCCTTATCGCCACAAATCCTTACCGAAGCGAGATGACTTTTGCCTTTATATTTTATATAGTTTTTTTACATATTTTTTATAGTTATATATTTGTTTGTATTAATTAAAATTATTTTATTATGTACATTTTGTATGAGTGTTTGTGTACGTAAGTAATAGAGATTGTAAAGATATAGATTGTGTTGTTTTGTATTTAGTTGGGAAAGAATGGAAGAAATTTCAATTCAGTCCGTTATTAATAAATCTATCTAGACAATCGCAAATTAAAAACTAAGAGACAAATATCGCATACTTACCAACATATTTGTGAGCGGGTTCTGGATACATCGACATTCTGTGCACTTCCTTGGCAATGTGGCGCACAGGATTAGTGATGCGGGAAACATAAGCATCGAAAGCTACATCAGTAGTGGGTTCATAACTGTACAAAAATAGCGAAAGTAAATTATAATTACAATTTCAGAAATTAGTTGCTTTCAAACTTACCCAGTCACTGGGAATGGTGTCATGCTGCGTGCACGACGTACTACAGGTGTGTGCAAGTCACGAATAAGCGATTGAGCTCTATTACGTATTCTGCCGGTTTCCTCGCGGAACGTCTATGGGTTTTGGAATTCGAAATTCAAGAAAATAAAACAATTAATTCTTAGAAGTAAAATTAACTTGCAAAAAGCATCAGTGATAGCCAAAGGTAGAGCGGAAAACAAAATCGATTAAACAAAATTCAAACACAACTCACAGTGAAGGGTTCAGTGCTGAGGTAATTAGTTAGTGCGCGGGCACCATAACCGGGCAGAGTTCTCTTCAAATATGAGGGAGTTACACGTACTGGAGAAGTTGTTACTCTCACGGGAGTCAAGGAGCGTGAGTAGACACGAGTCACTGGCGACGAGTACAAATAGGATGGTGATGAGTAGATATAGGTCGATGGTGTATAAGACGAAATGTATCTCGGTGTATAAGACGAAACATATGGGGTATAAGACGAATAATAAGTGGTCGATGGGATATAGGACGAAGAATATGTCGTTGGTGTAGTGTAAGTGTATGAAGATATACGCTCTGGCGATGTAATAACACGGGTAGTTGTCGTACGACTCACACGAACTGGTGATGGCGAACGAATTACACGTGTAAATACACGAGCTGGGGAAGTCACAACTCGAACTGGCGATGAAATCACACGGGTTCCACGAGTATAGCTTGATGTCGAGTATATCGGATAACTCGATTTGTACACCTACATATGGTATATTATAAAAATATAACTTTATTTCTAGTTATGTATGTATGTGTGTTGTATGTACATATGTATTTATGTATATATGTATGTATGAATGAGTATATGTATTTGAAGTGTTTAAAAGGAGTATGAGATTCTGATGTATTGAATCAAAACTTATGTCCAGAAAAATTAAGTAATATGTTTTCTGTTTATTTGTATTTTGGTGTAATTTATTTTTATTTGTCTCAAGTAAATGAAAAGATAAAGTGATTATGATAAATACTCGATAAAAATTAGAGATGACACTCATTCGATCGTAATTCGTAATTTAATTTAAACTGAATAATGTACAGTTTCTGTAATACTCAGCTGTAATTTTGTATAGTGAATCCAGTTATTGGGCGACATGGCGATGACTTCCGACAATAATTAGATTCCATGATAAGCCCGATTCTGATTTCAATCTTTCTTTAAAATTAATGACTCTAAGCGATATTTATGAGCGTTCAAACAGTATTTAAAAAGAAAACTTCTATCGGAGCGTGGTCTAATCTTTTGACCACCTTTAACACCAAGCAAACAATTTCTATAAGAAATATTCGTGATACATCATTTTTGAAAATTTACACAAAAATATCAAAAGTACTTTATTCCATTTAAAATACAATAGAATATTTTAATACTATAAAATATTCAAAATGAAAATTGAGTTCAAACAATCAATCAATTTTTTTACTTAAGTTCATCAATTCAAACTGGTTTGGCGATATTTGGCGAATTTTTTCTTATAAAAATCTGAATAAATTTGAACAATTTTCTCTAGATAAGATTTGGTCGAAATGTTAGAAAAAAATAATTTTAACTCTTTCACGTATACGGGACACCGGTGTCCCAAGATTTTTTTTAAATTTTCCCCATTTTGAACGTAATTTTGAATTCACAGCTAGAGTAAATGTTTATTTCCAAAAAAATAAGTTATTTTTTAGAATTTGATGTCACTATATGCTAAAAAAGATAATATCCTGCGATATTCTTCGAAACACTTTTTCCATTTTTCATCAAAAATGATCAATATACGTCAAAATAAAGTGTGTTAGGATGTCATATCCATAAAAAGTCCAGCGGCTTAGTTTTGTGCGCGAAAGGGTTAATGGCACAATTTTTGAATAAATTAATAAAGTCCTATTATTTACCCAATTTTACACTTCTCAATCGAATTCCGGCACGGGTTCCCGTTACTCGATTGGGATAAAATTTAACACCAGTTAGTTTTAGACACTAATGTGCAGAGTAAGATCCATCCAAGCAAAATCGATATATTTGTGCACCCTAATGTAAGTACGATAACAAAACAGCGGGGAGAAAATGGGTTTCGAAAACTGGATGTCTTTTTATAAATTGTACCGTTTTTTTACAATATTTTGCTTCCTATAACACCCTTTAACAATTTTGAAAAAAAATATTGGTATCAAATGAAAGCTGAAAATCTGTGCATTCTATCTATGTTATTTATTTTACTCACTTAGACAATAAATTTAAAAAAAAATTAAATTTAAACAAGTAGGAAAGTATAGTCGGACATGGCCGACTACACGATATCCTACACCATGGGTATACTTTAAAAATTATTTATTTTTCATAATGAAACCTTTATGTTGAATGTTACTTTAATTCTGATGTATTTAAGCAATTTATTAATGAAAAACTAAATTTCTAAAAGAGTCTTTATATGGGAGTTGGGGTCAAATATGGACCGATCCTCAACAAATAAGGAAGAGGGATGTAATTTTGTGAAAAGTTTAGTTATGCTGAATTTCATTACGATACTAACGGTTATAAGTAAATTTTTGGACGTTTAAGTTATTTTTTAAAGGGGGGTTTGTATGGGGGCTAGGGTCAAACTACGACCGATCATTATAAAAATTTGCATGGTCATTTAAGTCTATATAAAACATAGTTGTGCCAATTTTTGGTGAAATAGTAGTATATTTGACGTAGTTATGTGTTTAAAACCGTAAATCGGAAGGTAAGGTTGTATGGGGGTTAGGTGAAATAATAGACCGATTTCAACCATTTTCAATAGACATCGTCCTGTGTATCCAATGTGGCAAAAAATTCGTATGGTCCAAATTTTATCAAAATATCTTGAAAACTGTGGCCTGTAGCTTGCGCACAAGGTTTACATGGCCGGACATGTCTTAATCGACTCAAAGTTATTCTGAGTCGGTCGATATACTTTAAGGTGGGTGTAGGACCAATATTTTTATGCGTTACAAACATCAGCACAAAAGTGTGTAGGGTATAAAAAGATCTCATTTTCCAAGCAAAATGTTTAACTACTTTTTTGCGACAAACTTTCTTTAAGCTTAAATTTCTTTTAAATCCTGATGAATTGAAATAAATAATATTATTTTGAAGTAGAGATTCTTAGATTCATTTGAAATTAATATCAGATTATTCATATATACATATTTATAATTTATTCTTTTGAAATTGTATTTTCTTTGAAATTTAAGGTCCTTTTACAGGGGTATAAGAGCTGATTATAAAAAACTGAGTACTAGAATACTAATTTTAAGTTAATGTTGAAAAATCTCAATTTTATTTACAAAACACGTTAAAAAACGTGACATTTTGAAATTTTTTATTATTTGGGCAAAAAAAGTAATTTTTTGATTTTTATTTTTTCGAGCAGAAATAAAAGTAATTTTTTGACTTTTGTTTTTTTGATCAGAAATAAAAGTTATGTCCCAATTTGGTTTAGATAATATAGAAGTTATTTAATTCATCGTGATATTAGTATTTATAAGTAAGTTATGATTGTTCAAGTTATTTTCTGAAGTGAACTTTGTCTAAACTTAGTTATGCCATTTTTCTAGAGATACTAGTGTATTTAACATAATTATTAACTCCAAAGGATCGGTTGCGGTTCGTACTGTGGTACACACATTATCTTTGGATTGCATTATTTTTAAATTATGTCAGAAAATGGTCATAAGCCTATTAGTTACAGTTATTGTCACAACTCAACCAAAAAATAACATTTCTTTAAAACGAAGGGAAAAGTGGCAGAAAAATAAGTAAAAAAGTATAGTCCGTCAAATAATGACTGATACAAATAAAATTTGGTGAATGGAATTATGTACCAATTATTACGTAAATTGATATTATGAATTTTATAAAACCTAACTTAGCCATTTGATTACACAATCCGACAAAATTTAAAAAATGTCAGTCACTGACTAAAATATACTTGTCTAAAGGATTAAATTACGTTGATTTCGAATCAGACTTCGAGATATTTTAGCTTAAGGTTTGAAAAAAAATAATTTTTGCTATTTATGTCAATATAAAGGTTTAACATCTGTTATATTTTGTTCATTCTTTTAGATATAGACATTTCTAGAGAAATGCCTACCACGACTGAAAAAGTAAACAACCTTACAACTTTGGCATCTTAAAAAATAATTAATTAAAATTTGTTATATGTTATTCCATTGTACCAAAGACGAAGGCTATTGAAAATGTTTGAAATAGATCAATTATTTCATTTAGGGTTTGACTCTAGCCCCTATAAAAAGATTTTTTTCTGAAAATTACTTAAATGTCTAAAATTCACTTATAAACACTAGTAATTTATTAAACTAAGGCATAAGTAAATTTATTCATGATCGTCCTTTATTTAACACTAGTTCCCATGCAACACCACTCTTTAATCTTTGTCTATAAATTGCTTAAATATGTAAATATTTCCTTTGAATCATATAGGATTTTTAGACTGCATTATAAATTTACTGCCTGTTTCACAATATCGAAACCACATTTTCGATATTGAAAACAAAAACAAAATTTTAAATGAGTGAGTCATTTCGCTCGGAATCGAATATTTTGTTCATATATTACGGATATTTTATATATGTATGTAATTATGTATTATGTCGATCTTGTCGATGTCATCATAAATACGGGTTTTCATTATATACTATATTTTCTCTAAGTTTCATTTAAATCGTTAAAAACAAAATAATATTTCACTATGGGTTCCAGAAAATTTCTTAATATTGCATAGCTTGATTTTGACCTTCACAATTTATGGGTTAACATTATTCCATTTTACTAAAATTTCAGATGTATGTTTCCTATTATCTTGAATTTTATATTTTGAAAAGGTTATATAAAATGCATAACAGTAAAAAATAAAGCATGTTTTTCAAAAATGTTACCATAATATTGTTTTTTTCCGAAATCCTCAAAATTCAAATCGCAGGTACCGCTAATAAGTGAGATATACATATCGACCTAATTTCTTTACTATTTTATTCCATTCTTTATTGTCCATAAGTCACATGGAGTTTTTCTTAAAACGTTTAAATTAGCTTAATAAAATTGTTAAAAGTTCAAAACTGCCGTTTGAAGGGATTCACATTTGTGACTAAAGTAGTTTTCGTTTATAGTCATCACTGTTATATTCACATTAGTGACATTGTCAATTTTATTAGATATAAATGTCTCTGTCGATCAATTTCATTTAAAAAGATTACTTTATAGTACTCTTTTTGATATAAGCACTTTTCACATATATGCCATCTATCCGTGGCTATTAAAAGTCATGTTATATTCACGATATTGTCACATACGAATTTTTTTTTAAATTATCGTGAATTGAATGAAGAAGTTTTTGTTGAAGAAAAACAATTTTCGATTAAAGAAATTTAAAATGCAGTAGATATTTTGCGAAATTTTTGCTTAGAGCAAGGTATAATTAAAAAAATTTTGTTTGAAAAAAATAGAAGATAAAACTGTAACCAACATCCTCAACCTAAAACAGACTAATATTGATGATTTTTTTTAAATAATATAAACAATATTTCTTTAATGTAATGAATTTATGAAAATAATATTTATTTCTTTATTAAACATGAATTTTTATACCCACCATCAAAAAATATTGGAGTATATATATATATAAAAATGGATAAATTGGACTTTTTACATTTAATATTTAAATGTTTTTGTAGATAGAGCCTTTTTTTGTCAATAAAATCGCTAATTTTGGTCGGAGGAGTCAATTTTATGTGGACATTTGTTTTGATACAATACATCAGAATCAACAATAAAATCGATTTGAATTTTTGGTTAGTTAGGGCCGTTTGCGTTTCAGGTGACGATATATTGTGTGTCCTTATTAAATTCTAAGACAATCTAGCCATGTCTGTCCGTCCGTCTGTCTGTTGAAAGCACAATAGAGGCCGAACGGCAAGAGGTAGAGGATTGGTCGATAACTGACCCTACCCCTCATATAGGGTGCCCTTCAAAAAATTAATTTTTTGCTTATTATTTACTAAAAAATATGAATATAGCGATGAAATTTGACATAAATAAGCCAAATCTCTACCGAATTTTATGTGGATCGATCCCTAATTGACCCTGCCCCATAGCAATGGTTAACGTGGTCCAATCGCGCTAAATTTTTCCAGAATGCATTTCTATAACTCAAAGTATAAGTCTAGACTCTGGAGGCAGAGTCGGCCAATATTCGCAACTTCTGTGATATTAAAGAATTTTATATTTGGGACATACATAAGTATACAGTCAGAAATAACACTGGGATTAATGAAAATTATTTACAAAGTATTTTCATAGTTTAAATAACTCATAAGAATTATATTTATAAAATATTTGAAATAAATTAAATTCTATTCCCTAAATCAAAATATTACTTTTACCATGACACAGTAATGTCGAAAACTTAAAAAAATAAAAATAATTTGTTTTAAATAAGTTAATTAGTAAATTATCTCAACCTCCGGCTATCGCTTAAGCGGTAGATATTGAGAAAATTGGGGTAAAAGTTTTAATTAATATGTATAAACAATCAAATCCAAATTTGTATACCCTGTATATCCTACTATTGTGATTTTGTAATGCATAAAATAATTGGTTTAGTATACACCTTAAAGTAACCGTTCCCAAGTTGTGGTTCACTGACACATGATGTCCGAGCAATATTCTATGGTGACGGTGAGTAGCTATTAAAAAATTTTAGTTTCTCAAAGTGTTTCATTTTCTTAGTAACTACTTTTTATATAACCTTATCGATCGTGGTTGTCATATTTCTTAAAGTGTAGAATCTTGAAGAATTGCTCAAACAATTCTTTAGTGCTAGATTCTATCGCCACTATTTTTTATAGTTCTAGTTTACATTGAACATATTTTTATTTATCAAAGTTATTTTCAGCAGAAAATCTGGAAATGATAATTTATGTATGTAGAATATGTATGGGGGACCGCATATTATGCTAATAGACTTCCTAAGCCAATTTAACGATGACCGCACCTAACTCCCATACCAGCATTATTTCCGATTATCACAAGTTTATACATAAGTTTAAAATACTTTGTACTAGCAAATTTTATAAGATTTGGACAAAAACTCGTTGACTAGTCTATCGATTACTCCAATATCTAAAAGTATATTGAATAATATTTTTCTAAATTTTATATTGTAAAAAGGACAATATCTCGAGGGGGTACTGAACCAGGAGTTATGACTGTAAGTATGAGTCAATGTTAAAATGGATAATGTTGCCTATAATAGCAACAACTCATTGATGATGGTCCATTATGGTTTATTATTATTAGAGAGATCGTTAATGTGACACATGGATGGGTTTTAACAGTAACACGTTCAATATTTAAATATGCCAAACATATTTAGATGAGTGATGACGACAAGTAATGGAAATGCATGAAATAAACTGAATAAAATAATTGAAGATATTGTAGGTACTTACGCGAGAAACCTTGGTTACTACAGGGTACTGAAAGTCAAAAACAAAAAGTAAGAAATAAATATCAAAATCATAAAAACTGAATGTCAAATGCCTGGTGATCGGAATAGAAAACGTTGACTGGAATCCTTATATGTTTTATCGCTAAGTCCATATCATTAAATAAAATGTACACATTTACATGTTTGTTTTTTGTTAAAATTATTAATGTAATCAACTTTATTAACTGATTTAATTTACATTAACATATCACTTGTTAATTGTTTACTGTTTTGAAAGCAACATATTTTAATATTTTAAACGATTCTTAAAATCACTACCATTTAGAATACAGAGCAAGTATATAACTTTAATACAAAAATCCTTTGTTAAATATGTACGAATAGGTAGGTAGTATATTGAGTATTAGTATAAAAAATACGTGATAATTAACACTAAAACTAATTGTTACATTTAAAAAGTTGAATATTTGTTTTGAAATACTTATACAATTTGTATTTTATATAAATATAAGTACACGGTAAGTAAAAATGGATGATTAGTAAGTTCTATTGATAATGCTGGCTATTTGATGGCCTGACACATAAGTTCATTCAAATCCAAGTTCGGTTTGTATTTCACGTCTGACTCACTTAGACGCGGTAAGAGAAGTGACGATAACGGGTACCACCGGGCAAGTTGCCAGTGGTAGTGGAGGAATAACTGTATCCACCAGGACCACCGCCGGAGGTGCTAGAACGTTCAGTGCTGTAGTTGTAACCACCGGGACCGCTGCGAGATGACGATTCATAAGAAGATTCGTATGTAGAGCGTTCGGGTCTAGTGTAGGGATTGCTGGAATCGTAACTGTTCTTCTCTACGGTGGACTTGTAAGAGTAGGAGTAGTCATTGGAGCCACGGGTACGGTGAGTGCCAGGAGCAGAACTGCACAGGTCCAAGCGAGGAGTCTGTGAATTTTCAGTAAAATACATTTACAAACATTTTACCTTTAATTTTACTTAATCTTCAATAAAAGACGTACAACTAATGAAAACAATCTAACTGAATAATTATAAAAATTTTAAGGTCGCGTCGAACTCGAAACTCTAACTAAGAAGGTGACTAAACTCGTAAGCAATTAAATGAAAGGAAATTGAAACATGTTTGAATTTACATTAAAAACGTTTCATTCGATTTCACTCGAGACTTTATGGAAAGATTTCGAAAGATTAACTGAATGTGGATCAAGCAAAAATTAGCATTAAGAAAAAAAAAAAAACAACATAAAATAGCCATACAATTATTTTATATATTATAATAAATATTATAAAATGTAAATAAATACAAATCAAAAGTGCATACATATAAAAAATAAAAAGAGTTTAGGATTTCATACATACAAACTAACAAATTTCTACTTAGAAGTGGTAGGGTGTGCGTGTTTGTGAGTGTGTAAGTATTTGAAACAAACCCATAATTATAAAAATCGTTGCATAAATTGTGAAAATAATTGTTTAAGTTTGTGTATTAAATTTTTTATAATATTAATAGACGTATCTGGTGACCATGGCACCCGATTTTGGATTCCGGAAAGTTTCACGTCTAACCGGCAACGATTCGGAGGCGGCACGATGCATGCGTGGTAAGACTGCATCTAAACTGTCGCGCGATGTGCGACCAGCTGTATTGCCGCCAGCCTCAACGGTATCAATGTGTTGACGCACCATTGATAAGATACGTTCGCGATTTTTATCACGGGCTGGCACGTATGGCTTGATCGGTTCGTTGAGCACTTTATAGCTCGGCTTAATGGCGGCTCTATTAATTGGATCTAAAATTGAACTTTTGCGCTCTTCACGCTCTGGACGACGTCGGCCAAAAGCAGTAATTGGATCCGTAATCAAAGATGGTCGTGGCACAAACGGACACTTTTCCCAGTCTATTGGTGTTTTTGTTGGTCTCTGTAAAGTGCCCACATGGGAAATTTAAAGAAAAAACAACTATATCTTAATAATAGGTTTTGCGTTTTTGTCATAATAATGTTTGTTGTTGTTTTATTTAGAAGGTGAAGCAATTATAGGCTTAATAGCCTCCAATCAAGCTACATTTATACATACATACGAATACCAAGAGGACAAACTGTATGGTTCAGCAATCGCATATTTACAGCTAAAACTGGGCAAGGTGCTTACAAAGTTTATGTTCAAAAATAATAATTATAAAAGTGTTATAAAATAATAAATTGGCTTTTTGTGCAAGTTATTGTAGTAATTGTTTTAACAATTATGTAAATATCATCATATAACTAAGTATAACTGTACAATGTAAGTAAAGTATTAAATTTCCTAACTTTTGCGCGCAGTGTGGTGGTAAGTATTGGAAATTAATAGAATTCTGATCGTGAATGGTAGTGGTGCGAGATTAAATGAAAACGTGCAATTTAGTAGTTACATACTAAGTTAGGATGTGGAATAAAATAAATAATTTATGTTTAAATAATATTTATATATTTTTATTTATTCAATTGCATTTCATTTAAAAGTACAAACATATTTACATGAGGTAAATTAATGCCAAACAATAATCCTGAATAAGTTAAAGTAACGATAAGTTCGTTTTAAATATTTCTTTGGCGAAAATTCGGTTTCGATTCTCGCTATGCACTCTTTATACATTTACTTATTATTTGTACAATTTATGATTAGGTCACAAAATTGATTTTCCCTATTTGAACATATAGATACATATGTATGTACATACATATATATGTACATATCTATCATTTCGATAAATAAGCGCAGTTTAGTATTTGGTGAAAACGATATTGCAATAAATACACAGAATTGTAAAAATCCCGTGAAGTATAATTATCACACCATTGCTTCTAGGAAACATTCAAAAGTACAAGTAGGTATGCATATTATTTTGGAGACCTACATATATGGGCTGTATTTCCACAAAGGTCTTATTTTCTAAGTAGCTCTGCTGAGTAAGTTTCACGGAATGCCATTTTGAAATTTCCATACATACTCATGTATGTATGTATGTATGTACGAATACAACTTGTAAAAATATTTTACATTCTGCTAATCATACAAAAAAATATGTTAAAAGACTAAAACAGAACGTATGCATATTTCTCTCCGATTCTGCTTATGTAGATCAATAATGCAAAATATAAATATTAAAAAAACGATGCCCTTAATTTAGAAATACATAATTCGTTAAATCGAAATCTTGTGCTTTTGTATCAATAAATACATACATACATACTATATGAATAAATTATGCTATAAATATAACATTTTAAAAGGTGAGAATTTTTAATAAAATTTAGAAAATATTTATATCTTAATAAAATCATGAATATATGTATGTATGTATGTACATATATTTTTTGTTTACTTAAAACATTTTTGTATAAATATTTTTAAATAAAAAAGACCTTGTGAAAAAATATATTTATGTATGTTTGAATGTATACGATATTTTAATGGCAAATCCTACTCATTTAGTAGATTTTGCGATTCTCCATAAAATATTTATAGAGATTTGAAAAATATGCGCGCGCATCTTACATTACAAAGCAATAGATGGAAATTTTAACACGGAAAAATCTTGACATTTTTCGAGTTACAAACAGACATACATATGTATATTTGAAATGGTAATACATATTTAATAATTAAGTTTGTAAAACATATATAAATAATATTTGATAAAATATTGAAATTTTTTTTGCAGAAGCAAGAGAACATTTTTTGTAATATTATTTATAGATATAAATTTAACTTAAAATATTTAAGTTCAACATCTATAGAGTCAATACAATTAATAATTAATTAGTTTTAAGAATAATATATACATACATATTTGTATATAAATATATATTTATGTATGAGACTATGTAAGTAGAGTATGAAATAGTTTTTAATTAGTTCTTCAAGGAAAAACTGAAAACTTGAATCATGTAAAATTCATTAATGTGTCATCATGTGTACAAAATTATTGAGCAGAAAGAAAGCCTTAAAGTGAGAGACTAGTTATTTATGTATATATTAGACGTGCCCTTGAAAATTAATTTGTCTTAAATTTATCAAACATATTTTGATCATTACTGAATGTTTTTAATTTGGCTAAAATATAGTATTTATATGTATAACTTTGAAATAACTGCTATTTAAACAAATCTTTCTTAAACTTAGATGTACTTTTTTAATATAGAACTTTTTGATCGACAAAGAAACAAATATTTCTTGTTTTGGGATTTAGCTAATTATTTTAAAATAATGTGATTGTTTTTTGAAACATATAGGAACATTTTTGAATATAGAATTTTAAAATTTTATTTAAAAAAAATGTATTCTTATTTGCATATCTAATTATTAAATAATAATTATTATTAAAATATTTATATAATTATAATTATTAAAATATTAATAATTATGAAAATTCTAAATCGGAACTATAGATTATTATATTTTATGTTATTAACGGTTTATCACGGTTTCCTGAAAAACATTAACTAAATCTAAAATTATGGTAATGTTTAATGACCAGTTTCATAAAGTGTGAATTTAAAAGAAAAACTTTTTTAAAAATTATTTTATTTTCTTCAATTAAAATTATAGTTGTTTTATCTTATTAACAAAAATTTATGTAAAAATGCTTCCTGCGTTGGGAGGATATTTGTCATTAAAAATTCACATCGAACAGAGTTTGAGTTATCACTTTTTGAATATAGTGTCTTGATATAACTTAGAACATATTTTTACCAACTGCCAATTATTTAGAGATATACGAATTTGTGTATTAGTTTGTTATCACTATCTTTTTGACTAATTTTCAAATTTATTTGTTAAGGGCAGGTCTAATGTCTAAATACTCTTGTACATATTGAATACAAAAAAAAAAAAAAAAAAACAAAATAAACATTTGGCAAGAATGGTACAAATTTTAATATTTTCATTTTTCATTTATTTTCCCGGCAAATGTGAAAACACATTTATTATACATATCTGTACACACATACAGTGTCTCTCATAATTATTCGAATTTGGGTAAACTATAAAAAGAAACCAAATTTAATAATATATTTTGTGTGCAAAATAAATAAATTAATTTGTTATATTGTATAGATAGTCCTTATGTTTGATATCACGCTTTTTAAAACTTGAAAAATTTGCATTGATTTAAATTAATTGTGCTTTTTTAAAAAAAGTCCATGAAATTGCCTCACAAAAGTATACGAATTTTTCCTGTATTTCATATTTGATCATATTATACGCAACACAAATTTTAGAATCGAATGGTTTTTATGCGTAATATTGTTTTAAGGGGTTACTATCCACGGAAAGGATATATTTTTGGCCCATTTGGTCCACAATTTTGCGGAATTTGTACCCTCTTTTCATGTATTATCATTAAAATGGCGATTTTTGGCCATAATTGTAAATTTTTCTCCTTTTTTCCAGAGATAAAACAAAAATTTGATATTGGGACTTAAAAGACCCTTTGGGGTATCTAAAAATAATATCTTTTGTTACAAGAATCTGTATTTAAACGTTCCAAGATAAATTATTCGGATCATTCTTCTTTCGCTAATTCAATATATTGGAACTTAGTCCATTTTTATAATACTAGGATAAACTATTTTCGGGGAAAGTTTTCTGGTATATATTCTTTTAGATATCAGCTTTTATACATTTTAAGTTTTCAATGTGTTGTGGAAGTGTACAACTCCAAAACATGCCTCGAAGAAACACCATTCAAAATAGTAAAATCATTATTTTTATATACCAATGGCCTCCATGCTGCATAGCACGATATCATTATGATTACATCAAAAATGTTGATATGTGTTTAAATATTATTTACTATGATCAAATTAAAACCAAAATTTAGGACTTACAGTGTTATTGTAACGGGCAACATAAGCGTGAAAGTTACGAATAGTAAAAACTGAAATCTACTATATAGGATGACGTTTTGTTAAGGCATGTTTTGGGGTTGTATACCGCTATAATATATTGAAAATTTAAAATACATTAGTGCCAATATGTACATGAATATACACTAGACAACTTTGTCGAAAAATATCGTCCCTAGAGGTACGAAAAGGGACTTATGATCCAGATAATTCAATTAGAAACTGAAAAACGATACCAAAAACACATCTTGGAACGTTTAAGTACAGATCCTTATAACAAAAAATATTATTTTTAGATACCCTATGGGTTCTATTAAATTCCAATATTAAATTTTGGTTTTATTTCTGGAAAAAGGGTGAAAACATTACAAATATAGCCAAAAATCGCCATTTTAATGATATTACATGAAAAGAGGGTACAAATCCCCCAAAATTGTGGACCAAATGGGTCAAAAATATATCCATGCGGTTGATAGTAACATATTAAGCATAAAACCATGCGATTCTAAAATTTGTGTATCGTATAATATGATCAAATATGAAATACAGGAAAAATTCGCATACTTTTGTGAAGTAGTTTCATGGACTTTTTTTAAAAAAGCACAACTAATTTAAGTAAATGTAAAGTTTCCAATTTTTAAGGGGCGTGATATCAAAACTAAGGACTATCTAGACAATATAACAAATTAATTTATTTATTTTCCACACAAAATATATTATTAAATTTGGTTTCTTTTCATAGTTTACATAAATTCGAATACTTATGAGAGACACTGTATATACATATGTATGTATGTTTATATATACTTTTTTTGTATAGTATTTAAAATATACAGACATGCATGTACACGATTTTAATGTTTATATTTTTATTATTTCATTTATTTATTTTTCAAAAAATATTACGTAAGAAAAATATTTTTAAATTATTGCAAAATTGTTTTTCAAAAATTAAAAGTACATAAGAAAATACATGTATCTATATCCAAGAGTAAATATGTATGTATGTATGTATGTATATGTTTTCTTGCATATGTTTAAAGATATGCAATTATTAATTGTCCTTGAAATATGCTCTAAATACGCGCAACCTTAATTTAAACTAAAACTAAAATTTTATTTATTTACACAGTTTTCATATTAAATTATTTAACATATAAAACATTAAAAATAATTATAACAATTAAAAAATATAAATAGTAGTATAATTTTACATTAATTTATATTATTAATTATACACATACATATACAATGATACAAATACATTACTCATTTATTTATCTAAATGTTATGTTATTTTTCTCATTGTCTTTTATAAAATATCCTGAGAATATTGTCATTTAATTAAAAATTAATAATTCAATTAATATAACTGCAGTTGACAACAGGTGCTAAAACACGTCTAAAAATATCGAAATTAACATTGACCTGCTAATATAACTAAGGGAATATCTATGGTGACAGTCATTTGTTTCTTGTCAATTAAAACAATAATTTTTTTGTTTTTATGGTTTAGAAAAACGTTTTTAGGTCCGTGAAAAAATCGATAAACATTACACAAAAATTTAAGTTTATCAGATACACATGTATATTATGAATTCTGGTAATATTGAAATAGTCAAAAAATCTGTGAACGAATAAATTTTGATTTTGCTTTATCTAGTGGCCTAATTAAAAATTAAACTCATATTTAAGTACTCAATAATTTTGTAACTGATTTTTAATGTTTGTCTCTAGTTAGGTAGACATTCGGAAAAAAATTGTTTCAACATTTCAAAATTTCCATTATAATCGGGTTCTAAAGAAAATATTTGTTATTTCTAATTAACAATTGTTTAATTATTTAAACTTATATTAAGGAAATAATGACTTACAACAAATTTAAAAAGTAATTGAATAAATTAAAATATAAATACAAGTAAATAAATTTATTTATAACTTAAATTCAGTACTTTTCCGATTTTCAAGTTCAATTATAAATAAAAAAAAATTATTACAAAATCTAACAAATCGGAATAGTACTGGACTTGAACTAAGATAATATTGTTGTATTATTAGTCAATGAAAAAACAATAAAAATCATTTGAATTATAATAAGCCTATTATGAATTTAATGTATTATTAAATATTTATATAACTTTGTTTTAAGCAGTTATCGTAACATTAAAAAAAAAGTTTTACAAAAAAACAGACTCTTAACATGACTTATGACTATATGGACTTCTGATAGTGCGATAATAATTAATTTAGATATTTTAATTATATGTTAAAAAAATTACGACGATATCATTAGAAATTAAAATTAAAATACGAAAAAACAAAAATTTTAAGATCAAAATAATGCAGTTTCAAACGTGTTTCAATTCCGACCAGGTACATTTTTTTCTTTTCATAAATCACTAAAACAAATTTATATTCTAATAAAAATGCTTAAAATTTAAAAAAACTAAAAAATTATTTTGAGAAAATTTGGTCTATAAGTGAAATATACAAGCAATATAGAGAGAAAAAAACAAAAAATTAAACTCTTAAAAGAAAAACAATCTAAAAGTTTTTATCTTTCTTCTACTAGCACAATTTGAAATGGCAACATTTAAAATAAAAAATAGATAAAAATAAATACATATTTTTTGAAAATTGTGTTTAAAATATTCTCATATCCATATTCACAAACTACCCGTTAGTCTTTCTGTCTGCCAGTTGATCTGTCCGTTCATCCATTAATCGCCCGTCTTTGGATGTTGTTGTTTTTTTTTTTTTGGCAAAAACACCTTTCAGTAAATTTTAAACTATTTAAATAGAATTATGTATATATTTTTGCACACGGTTCAGTTTTTTTTCAATTATTCATGATTATTCACCAATAATAAAAATACGATTTTGGTTTAATTTTTCTAATTTCAAATTCTATGAGTTAAAAGTAGTTTATCTTTTTTATTTTTTTTAATAAATTCATAAATTGTTTTATTATAATTTTTTAAAATTTGTAATTATTTTCAATTTATACATTTGTAATGGATATTTTGAAATATTTAAACACAATTTTCAACTTTCTTTTTTATTTCGATTTTATTTTTTGGACTTAATTAGGATTAAAACCACACTACACTCTATTCAAAAATATAAAACTATTTTCGTTAGAATTTAATTATTATTTTTTTTTTTTTTTGGGAATAGGAAAGTTCACAAATCCTAGCTACGTATTCTTGCAAAAGGTATATAATTCGGTGTAAACACATCAAGTAAAAATAGTATGAACGCTTACCGAAACTGCGTACGAGGTAACGACTGGCCTGGAAGAGTAGGTTCTGCGGGTAGTAAATCCACTTTCGTAAACCATTTTCGTTCGATTTAGTTTAAAATAATTTCAAATTGATAAAGAATTCTTTTAAAATTTAGAAAATAATTTTCTTTTTATAATTTAACACTAGGTCCACTTTAGGATTTTAAATTTTGTATAACTCGTTTCGTGTGTGCACTTAGCGCCCGTTCGAGATCTTCTGAATTGTTCGTTGCTGGTGGATGCTGTTTTTGATTTTTGAAAAATATTTGAAAATAATGTACGTTTATTTTGTTTCTCTCTCAGTGCCGAATTATTTTTGGAATAACTTATACAAACATATGAACAGTCTAACAGACAGACAGACATACATACAATCGTATTACATACAACAAATTCAAAATCAAAACGAATATTTTCCCAAATGTCTATTAGTGTGAGTGTAGTGACGTCATACTTAAATCTCTTTGTCGTTCAAAATGAAATTTCTGAAATTTCATTACAAATTGAGAAGAATTTATTATTTTTTTATGAGATTAAGCAAATATTTTCTCATACAACTTTACAAATCTGCAGAAAAGTTTGTACAATTTTGAAATGTATATGTTCTGAAAATATTACAAACATTCTTACATATTATTATGTATATATACATATGTATGTACATATGTGTGTATGTTTATATTTTCCTTAAAATCTTGGTGAAATTTCTCTTGAATGGAATAGATTAATTTCTTGTTTATAAAAACAAGAAAAGTTTCTTAACTGTACATCATTTCAAATTTTCGTTTTTTCTTTATTTTTTGCGTAGGATTTGTTTGTTTTCATTTTTATTTTAAGTGTTTTTGAGTTTTACCATTTAACTGAAGGTAAAATTAAAAAAAAAGTCGACTAAAATTAGTTTTATTTTGATCTAATTTAATATGAATGTCAGATTTTTAGTTTGTGTTTTTTTTTTATAATATTTCTAACGTAAATCACTTTCAATGATCTTGAAATTCTTATAATATTTTAAAATAAATGTGTGAAAATAAAATAATGTAGGTTATTGACGTCTTATTATTCAGCAATCATTACCAAAATACTATTTATAGTAAAAATTATTACAGTCTACCTTGAAACTCTGCTTGAATGTAAGGAAATGACAACTAATATTGAATAATTTTTTTTTTTAAATTTTAGAAGTTAGATCTTAACTTAAAGTTATATGAATAACATTATTTTAAAATCATTTGAAATTTGCACAGGCTAAAATTCAAAAAGATATTCATCTATATATATAAAATTCTAACGTTACTGACTGACTGACTGACTGATTCACTGACTGATTCATCATCGCACAGCCTAAACGGTTGAAGCTAAAGAGCTGAAATTTGGACAGGAGGTTGGTCTCCCGCCAAATAGATCCACTAAGACGGGATTTTTGGAAATTCGAATGTTTAGGGGGTAAAAAAGGGTAAAAACGGTAACCTTATATCTCCTAAACTAGAAAAGATACAAAAACAGCTTAAAGCTTATCGCCGTTCATTTAAAAAATAAACGGACAGGTGTCTGGTACTTTTTTAAAATTCGGCTCCTTTAGGGAATAAACGGGTAAAAACTGTATTTTGGTACTTTTTTCGCACCCCATGTATCTTTTAAACCAGTGCACATTCAAAAAATATTTTTGACACCTTCATAACTTAACGAAAAAATAAAAATATGAATTTAGTACTTTTTGGTTATTCGGATGCTTAAGAGGTGAAAATTGTACCTATTTTTGGTACTTTTTTCATAAAACATTGATTTTGGTTTATTAACTTATACATATAAATACTAGGGTGATCGACTCGATTTTTCAACCGGTTTTAAAACCGGTTTTTCTGCTTTACCAGTGTCGGTTTTTTCTTAATGTTGATTTTTCGAATATCGAATAACCCGTTTTTTTCACTTTTTAAAACCCGGTTTCGAATACTTTTATTTGCTTTGTATTCAAAGATTATTTAAATGAAATTTTTAAGTAAATAATAATACAGCCCGTCTAAATTTTAAAAACATTCGAGTCGAGGAACTAGAGTACATTTTTCTACAGCTCTTTTGGTTAAACTTTTTTGATTTTCCTAATTAATTAAAAAATTTTATTTGTAAAATTGATAACTGTTTGATAAAATTTAGCAATCTTAAGATTACAATAATTAATTTACGGCTGAAATTTTATGGAAGTGTTGGAATGCCTATGCAAATGTCCTAAACAGGGCTTTTAAAATAAGCTAGGATTACATAGTACCTTATGTTTAACAGAAGTGTCCCACTTTTTTCCTAATTTTTTATATTAAAGAAATAATGTAAATCAGACGACTAGATCTAAAGTTATGATCATTTAAACTGTTAAAAATCATTTCAGGATATGTTTTATTAATCAAATTTAAACATAAACATTAAGTTTTTCAAATTAAAATATATTTTTTTTAATTATAATGAAAAACCGGTTAACCGGTTTTTTCAGAATTCGAAAAATATCAACCGGTTTTTTTTAAATGTCAACTATTCGAACTATTCGAAAACCGGGTTTTGGAAAATGTCGAATAATCGATCACCCTAATAAATACATAATAACGGGCTCCCACTACGATGTTGCAACATTTTGGAATAGAATTTTTATTTCGGAAATGTGATTTTATTCAAACACAATGATCCAATTTAGATAAAATTTTTGGATTTAGAAACACTAAATATGCTAATGAGGTGTTATTTGGAACCCCGTTACCAAGTGATATTTTTTGGTACTTCTTCATTCTTCATCTGGTACTTTTTGAGTTTTCTTTGATATTGAAATCGAAACATGTAATTAATAATAAAGGGACTTTTCGCTACTTTTTCGTTCTACACAGGTACTTTTTTGAGTTTTCTTTAAAATTAAAGCTAGAAACATGAAATTAAGCATGTAGAGCTCGGAGTAAATGAGAATCTATAAAATGGGACTTTTTGGTACTTTTTCGTTCTTCAAAAGGTACTTTTTGAATTTTCTATAATATTGAACCTAGAAACATGAAATTAAACATGTAGAGACCGGAGTAAATGAGAATCTATAAAAGGGGACTTTTTGGTACTTTTTCGTCCTTCGACTGGTACTTTTTGAGTTTTCTGTAAAATTTAACCTAGAAACATGGAATTAAGCATGTAGAGCCCGGAGTAAATGAGAATCTATATAAGGGGACTTTTTGGTACTTTTTCGTCCTTCGACTGGTACTTTTTGAGTTTTCTATAAAATTTAACCTAGAAACATGAAATTAAGCATGCGGAGGCCTTAGTTAATGAGAATCTATAAAATGAGAATCTGAGTTTTCTATAAAATTTAACCTAGAAACATGAAATTAAGCATGTAGAGCCCTTAGTAAATGAGAATCTATAAAAGGGGACTTTTTGGTACTTTTTCGTCTTTCGACTGATACTTTTTGAGTTTTCTATAAAATTTAACCTAGAAACATGAAATTAAGCATGAGAGCCCGGAGTAAATGAGAATCTATAAAAGGGGACTTTTTGGAACTTTTTCGTCTTTCGACTGGTACTTTTTGAGTTTTCTATAAAATTTAACCTAGAAACATGAATTTAAGCATGTAGAGCCCAGAGTAAATGAGAATCTATAATTTGGTACTTTTTCGTCCTTCGACTGGTACTTTTTGAGTTTTCTATAAAATTTAACCTAGAAACATGAAATTAAGCATGTAGAGCCCAGAGTAAATGAGAATCTATAATAGGGGACTTTTTGGTACTTTTTCGTCCTTCGACTGGTACTTTTTGAGTTTTCTATAAAATTTAACCTAGAAACATGAAATTAAGCATGTAGAGCCCTTGGTAAATGAGAATCTATAAAAGGGGACTTTTTGGTACTTTTTCGTCCTTCGACTGGTACTTTTTGAGTTTTCTATAAAATTTAACCTAGAAACATGAAATTAAGCATGTAGAGCCCTTAGTAAATGAGAATCTATAAAAGGGGACTTTTTGGTACTTTTTCGTCTTTCGACTGGTACTTTTTGAGTTTTCTATAAAATTTAACCTAGAAACATGAAATTAAGCATGCGGAGGCCTTAGTTAATGAGAATCTATAAAAGGGGACTTTTTGGTACTTTTTCGTCCTTCGACTGGTACTTTTTGAGTTTTCTATAAAATTTAACCTAGAAACATGAAATTAAGCATGTAGAGCCCTTGGTAAATGAGAATCTATAAAAGAGGACTTTTTGGTACTTTTTCGTCCTTCGACTGGTACTTTTTGAGTTTTCTATAAAATTTAACCTAGAAACATGAAATTAAGCATGCGGAGGCCTTAGTTAATGAGAATCTATAAAAGGGGACTTTTTGGTACTTTTTCGTCTTTCGACTGGTACTTTTTGAGTTTTCTATAAAATTTAACCTAGAAACATGAAATTAAGCATGCGGAGGCCTTAGTTAATGAGAATCTATAAAAGGGGACTTTTTGGTACTTTTTCGTCCTTCGACTGGTACTTTTTGAGTTTTCTATAAAATTTAACCTAGAAACATAAAATTAAGCATGTAGAGCCCTTATTAAATGAGAATCTATAAAAGGGGACTATTTGGTACTTTTTCGTCTTTCGACTGGTACTTTTTGAGTTTTCTATAAAATTTAACCTAGAAACATGAAATTAAGCATGTAGAGCCCTTAGTAAATGAGAATCTATAAAAGGGGACTTTTTGGTACTTTTTCGTCTTTCGACTGGTACTTTTTGAATTTTCTATAATATTGATCCTAGAAGCATGAAATTAAGCATGTAGAGCCTGAAGTAAATGAGAATCTATAATAGGGGACTTTTTGGTACTTTTTCGTCCTTCGACTGGTACTTTTTGAGTTTTCTATTAAATTGAACCTAGAAACATGAAAATAAGCATTTAGAGCCCGTAGTAAATGAGAATCTATAAAAGGGGACTTTTTGGTACTTTTTCGTTCTTCAAAAGGTACTTTATGTATTTTCTATAATATTGAAAATAGAAACATGAAAGTATGCATGTAGAGCCCGGATTAAGTGAGAAACTATAAAAGGGGACTTTTTGGTACTTTTTTGTTCTTCAAAAGGTACTTTTTGAATTTTCTATAATATTGAACCTAGAAACATGAAATTAAACATGTAGAGCCCGAATTAAGTGAGGACCTATAAAAGGGGACTTTTTGGTACTTTTTCGTTCTTCAAAAGGTACTTTTTGAATTTTCTATAATATTGATCCTAGAAGCATGAAATTAAGCATGTAGAGCCTGGAGTAAATGAGAATCTATAAAAGGGGACTTTTTGGTACTTT